GACGGGGAAGTGTCTAGAATAAGCTTCTTAAAGAAGAAACTAAAGAAAAAGCTTTAAAGGAGATTCTAAAATATGCTTCTTATAAAGATTCTACAAGCACAGCAAAAAATTAATTTTAATATCACATCAAAGTGGATGCACTTCAATCATGTTGAAAATATGGTATAAAAGGACAAAATTCTCATTAATACAGTGCATCAACTGACATTACTCTGCTTTTACTGCATTTGTTTATTTTTGTGGCCATAAAAATTACATAAGATTTTCGACATGATTGAAGTGTTTCGTCTTGGATGTAATATTAAACTTTATTGTTTGCTGTGAGCTTCTAAAAACTTACAGAAGGAGCTTCTTAAGAAGATTCTAAAAAAAAGCTTAATTTGGAAGCTCATTCTAGACACGACGCTATTTTTTATTTTGACGTAGGACTACGTCTGCGATTTCTGTATGAGGTTACACTGTGTGAAAACAGAAAATGTAACATGTAACAAAATTATGAAAAATTTTGAACGTTAATAACTCAGCTGCCCCTGGACCAATTTCAATAATTTTATCACCATTCGATCAGAAATGTTTCTACGCATCTGTTGAATTTGATACCTTATCATTCGTCAAAATTTCACTATTGAAAACTGCGCGAATGTGTAACTGTTGCTATGATAGTTAAAATTATCACCGATTGCCTGTGAAAAGCGATTTCTCTAGCACAGATTTCAAAGTTGAATTCCATCCTGTCTCACCAAACGGTGTTTATTCTATCACCGCGTGGTAAGTGGTGATGTTCTCCACACAACGAAAGGCTCCCCGCAAGCAGCTAGCTATCAAGGCTGGCCTCAACCGCTGATCGGATTCAGTTCGAATCACCGTATGTGGTGGTCTCCGGTCATCGGCATCATCATCAGTAGCAGCAGCACCCAACAAACAATTTGAGTTGATTAATAGTTGAATAAGCTATTGTTTAGCTGAAGAAGCATATTTTTACCTTAATAAGCTCTTATTCAGCTTTCAGTATTTGTTGGGCAGTGCTTTCGGCGCGTGGCGTTGAACATTGTTCTCCAGTACACAACAATAAACTGCCTGCAAGAAGCGAGCTGCAGCCCACATGAGCATCCATAGAAAGAGTAAGAAGCCGCATCGCTATTGATCGGAATCAGTAGCTCTTCGTGAGTCGCTGTGGGCCATCTATGCCAAGCTCACCAGCTTCATCTGTGTTTAACACCCTAATAGCTCAGTATTACTCAAACATCACGACAAAACGGTCCTTTTTAGGACCACCATAAATTTGTAACAGAGTATTTTTGGACATTTGTCAAGGTCGGATGTCAGTTCGCATATCAAGATAGAGCTGGAATTAGGGCGTAACAGCTTTTATAAACAATGACTTATTTCGATGATGTAAAGACTCGCCCACGCAAATTCACATCAAAATCAGGTAGAATAAGACTTCCCCTGCCCGACGGTAATGTTGGTTTGAGTGGGCGTACCTTGAAATTCTAAAAATCATCAAGAGAAGTCATTGTTTCCAAAAACTGTTACGCCTAATTCCAGCTCTATCTGGATATGTTTAAATCTAACATACCATGTTCTTGAAGGCAACATTGGGGGTGCAATTTAAAAAAACCAAAGTCGGTCGCGACATGAAAGTGGTTTTATTTTGATCCAGAGATAATGGATATCATCTCAATCGATAGGGATTTTTCCGACGAATTTGTTAAAATTAAGGATTTATCATTTTTCAAAATTTCACTATTGAAAATTACACGAATGTGTAACTGTTGCTATGCAAATTAAAATTACCACCGATTGCCTGCGAAAAGCGATTTCCATAACACAGATTTCAAAGTTGAATTCCATCCGGTCTCACCAAACGGTGTTTATTCAATCACCGCGTGGGTAGTGGTGGCGTTCTCTAGTACACAAGCTGCAGCCAACATGAGCATCCATAGAAGGAGGAAGAAACCGCATCGCTATGAATTGGATTCAGTAGCTCTTCGTGAGTCGCTGTGGCCCATCTATGTCAAGCGCGTCATATTAAAGAGTATAAACAGAGGGAACCCCGTTCAAATTCCTACACAAAACACAAGCTCCTGCTGCAGTTAACATATAAGATTTATTATATAAGATCACGTAGTCCTACGTCAACATTACGTACAACCCCATAGGGCTGTCCCTTGTAGTTTTTTTATTTCTCTGTTCGGGACTAAAAATTCACTGCGACCAGTCATTTAATCTGTTGTAGTATACCCCGTATCCATAGTTTGGTGCAAGTCGTATTACTCCACCACTATTGAAAAATGATGAAGTATTCGGTTTTGCTACAGTTGTCATTCCTGCCTTTATAGCACGGATCCAACTCTAATGGTAAAGTCCCACTATTTATACCCTTCGGAGTGTTGGAACACCCTCCAAAGGCACGCCCCTTTGTCAGTCAAAGACGGATTCCTTCGCAACAAATTCAAGCAATAACACCGATAATGACCATGTATCTGAATTCTGAACCCTAGTCTTAACCACTTCAAACTATAGTCGCTATATTCATAGTCTGGCGGATAGAATTTCGATTTATCAAAAAGTGGAACCAATTCAATATATTTTAGACCAACAATTGAAAAGGTACTATCAACATTTATAAACAAACGTAAATTATTCTTTCCACGTCAATCGAACGCAAATTACCGGCATCATCGGATAAGGGAAACTTTCCACAACCCAAAGATGGTATTAGTTTGCGTAGGCGAGCCTTGAGTCACGAGAAAATGGTTTCCGACGTTTTGTTCGCAATAAAGGGTGATACGGTCAAAATTTGGTCAATATCAACTTGACGTATTTCTTTCAATTTTGCATTTAAAAAACCTGAACACCCCTCATTTTGAAGGTGTGTGTGTGTAGAATTTTGCTCCTATTTTGATTTTGGAATTCACTCTTCAGTTGTCAAAATGCCGTCCAAGCAAGAAGAGCAGCGTATCAAAATTTTGCTAGCGCATCGCGAAAATCCGAGCTACTCGCACGCAAAGTTGGCAAAATCGCTAAAAGTTGCCAAATCAACCGTTACAAATGTAATTAAAGTGTTTGGGGAACGTTTGTCGACAGCCAGGAAGTCTGGATCGGGGGGAAATCGAAAACCGGAAGCCGCTGAGAAGACAAAGAGAGTTGCCGGTAGTTTCAAGCGAAACCCTAACCTCTCTCTCCGAGATGCCGCAAATAAGCTGGGTGTATCGTCTACAACCGTGCATCGAGCCAAAAAACGAGCCGGACTATCGACTTACAAGAAGGTAGTGACTCCAAATCGCGATAATAAACAAAATACGACGGCCAAAGCGCGATCCCGGAGGCTGTACACGACGATGCTGACGAAGTTTGACTGCGTGGTAATAAACGACGAAACCTACGTCAAAGCCGACTACAAGCAGCTTCCGGGACAGGAGTTTTATACGGCAAAAGGAAGGGGAAAGGTAGCAGATGTTTTCAAGCACATGAAACTGTCAAAGTTCGCAAAGAAATATCTGGTTTGGCAAGCCATCTGTACCTGTGGCTAGAAAAGCAGCATTTTCATAGCTTCCAGGACTGTCAACCAAGAAATTTACGTGAAAGAGTGTTTGAATAAACGTCTGCTGCCTTTCCTGAAGAAACACGGTTGTTCCGTACTGTTTTGGCCGGATTTGACATCTTGCCATTACGGTAAAAAGGCCATGGAGTGGTACGCCGCCAACAACGTGCAGGTGGTTCCCAAGGACAAGAACCCTCCCAACACGCCAGAGCTCCGCCCAATTGAGAAATACTGGGCTATTGTCAAGCGGAACCTAAAGAAGACCAAAAAAACTGCTAAGGGCGAGCAGCAGTTCAAGGCAAACTGGCTTTCTGCGGCGAAGAAGGTGGACAAGGTGGCTGTACAAAATCTGATGGCAGGGGTCACGCGTAAGGCCCGGCAATTCGGATTTGGAAAAGCGGAAGCCTAACTGAATATTTTTCCTGAATTTTATACTAATTGAACTTGAAAAAGAAATTTAATTTGATTTTTTAAATAAACGATTTCACCGATTTACACGCGTTTTCCCTTGACCAAATTTTGACCGTATCACCCTTTAGCTGATGTGCTCTTTTCTGTTGTTAGTCGTGATTTGCTCGATTGGTTCCGCTATTTGACGCTCAATTGGTTCCCGAGATTCTATCCGCCAGACTATGAAAATAGCGACTATACTTCAAACTAGAGAACAGCTAAGGCCGTTCGCAATGCTGAGTTTCAAAATTGTTTTAAGCGACTCGACAATTCTATAACTTGAAACAGTCAAAAATAAAACTGCAACACGATCAGCACATCGCACAGTTCTAAAAGATGTTTGTAATCATCAAGTTTCATAAACTTTACTGTTCTCTATGAAGTTCATAGAGTTTTTTTTATGAAACATCTTTAAATACATCCAAAGAAATTTGAAACAGAGTTCCAATCGTGTTTCAAACTCGCTCAGAAATAAAATAGATTAGTCGAGCAGTTGCAAATCGGGTGCAAAATAGTGCTCGAATAATGAAACTGCATCTCAGCATTGCGAGAGGTGCGTTTCTGCTCTAGTTTGAAATTAAAACAGTCCTTATAAAATACAACAGCATTGCGAACGACCTAATACCGCTCTTTGAAACTGCTAGAATATTGATCATTTACTGAATCAATCCATCATTCGAGCTGTTTAAAATTACTTTGTCATCGATCCCAATATTGGGGTTTTTCATTCAAAACAAAAGAGTTTTTTTTTATGGGTTTTTTAAAAAAAAATCTACTTATCAATACCTCATAAAGCTATATTATTTTCTATTGTGTGAAACATCTTCGGCACCGACACTCTATTCCAAGCACATAGTAAATAGCTTACAACGCTCATTCTGCAACATGACACATTTAATTTTAGAGTATCTTTTAGGTTCACGATTAACTTTCTTCAGAAAAATTCCGTACTTGGAATAGGATCTCGTTGGTCGAAGCTGTTTCTTAACCATACCATGCTTACCTTTCAGCGATAGCTCCACCAACAATAGTTGTTGCAGAAGCTGAAAACGTCATTTGAAACAGATAGACCACCATAATCTGCCCCATCAAAAGATCATTTACTGAGACATCAACTAAGAAATCGCCCAGGCCTATAAACGGATTTTGATACTCGCTTCTTCCTAACATAAAAGCAAATCCAAACAACCAGAATGATATACCCCCAAGTACAATATCCACGATGTTCCTCAACATCATGTCAACTTCATTCTTTTCACTGACGCAACCAGACTCCAGTAAGGCAAACCCGGTTTGCAACGCTACTAACAAAAACGCACAAACCATGATAAAAGTTCCGTCATTTTCACCAAAATCGTAAAGCTTTGGGATAGAAACCGTGTCGTTTGTGGTAACGTTACCATACACATTTACCGCGCTTGTCACTAAGTTCGTCATTTTATCCACAAAAGATTAATATCTTTAGCAAATGTTTAATAAATTTCAATATTAATAATCACATAATCTCATCCACTGGTTGTCTGACCATCGTCGTTCACTGCAAAACATTAACTGTTCACTGTAAAACACCTGTTGCCATTCCCAACTTGTACTAATGAGTTAGCTCTCTAACCTGCGTTTGTATGTCTATGGCGAACTCTAATGATAATAATTAAATTTGATATTCGTGCACGCAAGATAAAAATCCCATGTGACCAATTATAAATAATACACGAGATCACGAAATAACAATTCCTGTTCAATCATAAATCATAACTAAATCTTTATCGCGTGTTGTGAGCAATGAATGAAATTTACCATTTCAGGATCAATTTACGGTCCAAACTGCGTGTACATGCGTAGCATAAGCATATACACTCAACCGGGAAATGTAAGATTCTATGACAGATTTACATGAAAAATTTGCAATTTTTCGCAACATAAACAGATTCTGTAATGTGGTCGCCAGACGGTTTTAAAATAATTTTGTAATTTTTATGTTGGCATAACAAAGTAAGATTCCCTAAATACATTGCGTCTAGAAAATAATCTTGCGAAGGTTTTATACAATCATATGTATTCTGGAAAAACTTGCTTGTACACTGCAGTCCATTACAAGAACTACCATTTTTTTTATTATTATTATTATTATTATTATTATTATAGTCACTTTAACACTCTTGGGTCATTCGTGACTTGTCCGGGGGTGAGATTTGAACTCGTGACATTGGCATGAGAGGTATGGATGCTAACCACTACGCCGGGGTCGCCATTACATTTGTAAACTTGCAATCGAAACTCAACTGTAAAAAAAAATACCAACTCAATACCGATGTTCAGTAAACTTTGAAAAACAATTCCGTAAAAATGAGCTTTCCAATTATCCTATTCATTCATGAATACTGTCAAAAGTAGGGACCTCAATAAATTATGTTATAGGCAGGACTGTTTGTAGGTTAATGTATTTTTTTTGTGATTAAATACATTGCTTGTGGCACAGCCAGGTGTACAAGCATTCTTATTTCACGGCAGCGCAAACTTAGTCCAGACCAAAATGGATCCCTCGAATTAAGCTGCTCGAATTCCAAACAACAGGTATCACGCCACATAGGAATCCGCTAAATTCTGTCCAGTAGAATGAAATACTTTTCATTTATTGAAAGCAGTGTAGGGCTACCGTTAATTTGCATTTTGGTACCAACTTTCTTATCCCTTTTATAATTAGCTCTGTATAATCGGCTTAATCTGCGTTGTATAGACTGAACACGTAACGCTAGACAACGGAGAACACACAACATCCAGTAGAACAGTAGGGAAATTTGGTTGTTGCGAAAAGTTCCACTGGCTCTAGCGGGAATTGAACCCTTATTTCGTGACACTCATAATACACTGAAGTCTTTTTTGCACGGTTTTTTTACACGATTTACAAGGTACGTTTTCAACGATTTCTAGACAACGATACAACCTATCGACTTTATTCCTATCACATTATCCGTTTCAAGCTATAGGTAATCGAATGGCATACTTTTAAAAAAATCAAAAAATGTCTATATGGACCATAGCATGCTATTGGTCCATATATATAATGGCATTAAAATCCGATTTTTTTTTTAACATTTAAGCATGTGAAAAATCAAAATCTCGGTAAATTTTTTTACACGGTTTTTTTTCATACGGTACATATCCCCCGTGTAAAAAAGACCTGAGTGTATATCTGATGATGGGTGACACCGCTAACCGCGAAGTCTGGTCTATCCGATAAAAATATAAATTGAGAGATAAATTACTGTAAAATCATGTTTATTCGGTAAACTGTTAATTTTGTTAAAATACCCTCCATTAATTTTCTTTTTGCGAGAAGAAAGCTAAAATTATACCCTCAAATCTAGTATAGAGTATTGGGTGGAAAAATGTCTAAAATATTTTTTAATATTTTAGTCCTTATCAAATTTTAAATCATAATCAAATTTCTCATTTTGAAGTAAAATAATTTTAAAAAAGGATTATATGCACAATTTTGGGCCCATGCATTTATTACGTAATCAAAAAAAAAATTAAATACACCATTTTTGCGTTACGAAACATTTGAACGGGCCCTTTTAATGAATTAGTTGATACAAACATTATGACAAAGTTCCCCCGTTCTCATGTTATTCCGTATCTATCTTTTGACAGATACGCGTATTTCGTCTACTACTTTCAGACTTCATCAGTGCCAAGTACGCAACACCACAACAGAGGCACTGATGAAGTCTGCAAGTGTAGTAGACGAAATACGCGTATCTGTCAAAAGACAAGCATTTATAACGGAGTTAAAAGAAAATAAACCAACACACTCGAAGCTCTTAATAAAGGGATTTCGTTAAGAGGTTCAACAAATTTAAAGATAAATATATTATTTGATTTTGTTCTTTACACTTTATTCAAGGCTCGTATTATTATTATTTGATTTTTTTTCCTTGATTTGTTTTCCATCGATCTTGCTTTCCGTGCTGAGCATCAATGCACAGTGGACCAGAATGCAGATTTAGGTGGAATGATATGTTTTGAGTCTGAAATTGAAACTTTAGACTGAAAATCTTTTCTTCAAAGTTGTTTGTTATAGTTAGGTCCTCATTTTTATGACCACCCTAGAGGTTCTTATCATTAAAATCAAAAATCTAACTTTTTTGTTTGAATAAATTAAGGTATACATTCTTCTGCGAAGCTATAGCTTAACTAAATTTAAGCAACTTTGTACAAAAAACTTTTTAATATCTCTTAAATTGACCAATTTAGAGCTATTTTCTTGAATTGAGTTAGGGTGTCTCTAAAAAATAAGTTGTTTTGCTTTAGTTTTCTTATTTCAAATTTCTCAGCAAAGGTGTCTTCAAATAACTTTTAGATCTTTAGAAGGCGCAAATTTATATTATAAGTACGTTTATTTGTCGATTTTTTTTAGTTAAAATTATTTTTATAATAAATTAAACTCCGACTTCAAAATTGAAATTCAATGCATCTATATCTTGTAGAAGTTCTTCGCACTTGAAAGATCGCCGTCTGCCAGTTAACGCCATCAGTTTTTGCAGAAGTAATTCAAATGCACCACGTACTCTAGGGCAAGCAAAGAATTTGTGCTCGAGACCATTGTACAGCAGCAGTGCAATTTTCTCCGTCTGGTCGTCTCATAATATTCCAAAGCCGCCGGTGCGGGACCTTTTGGTTCACCCAGATATACAACGCACTACGCTGCGACGACACTAGATTCCGTGTAGCAATATTGCTCCACACACGAGGCCAGTTGATTTCGGGGTTTGCTATCTCCACTTTTGGTCTGTTCGTGCGTTCTACGAAGAAGCGATGAATGCGATCGGCGGAGGGGTGTTGGCGGATTTGGAAAGGGAAGTTTGAAAAATTGTTTAGGATTAATTTGAGGCAAGGAAGGTCTGAAATTAAATTTGATTGGGGAGGATTTGTTTGGTAGAGGTAGGAACTATAGTAGGGAAGGGACTCGATCTCGTGAAGGTGGCGATTAATTAATAGCGCCTTGCATTTCATCGCTGGAAGATGTAGCTTGACATTTTTCTTCTAAAAATATGCCCTTTTCAAATGTTAATATCTCTGGCTGGGGCAAACAAAAACAATTTTACGGCATTTGAAAGGGCGTATGTTATACTCAATAATATGAAAAAATGAAGTTGTTATTTTTTAAACTCGTAAAAAATCAATTTGAATTTATTCATATACTTTACTATCTTTGGGTATATCTTTTTTATTAGAAGAGATACAGACAACAAATTTTGCTATAAAACATTCGTCTTATGACTTTCATGAGAAATTTGAAATAAAATGTTCGATTTTTTGCATTTGAATATTGCGGGGTTGTCAACAAACTACGTAGCATTACGATTGTTGAGGAAAAACATCCACTATTAGTTTTATTAGCTGAAACACATATTTTAGAAATTGATGCATTTGATCAGTATAGTATTCCGGTATATAACGTTGCTGCTTGTTTATCGCATTCTAGACACACTGGAGGTGTTACTATTTATGTCAAAAAATCAGTTCAATTCCATTTTCGCACCAACGCAGTTATTGATGGTAACTGGTTCTCGGGCATTATAGTTGTGCGTTGCATGAAGATGGGTAATTATGGTGTTTTGTGACCAGCATTTTGTTGAAGTTTTAGAGAACTGGCTCGATACATTCCTTGATTCTAGTAAATTAAATATATTAGCTGGTGATTTTAATATTAATTGGCGTGACAACCACAATTCGAATCATTTGAAGCGTTTGACTGAGTTTTTCAATTTAAAGCAAACGGCAAATGAGTTCACGCGTATTTCCAGGCACTGTAGAACTTTAATTGATCATGTTTACTCCAATTTTGATTCTATTTGTTCAGTTACGGATACTGATTTGAAAATAACCGATCATGAGACCTAAGTGATTAATGTCTTAGACCATGTTAACGATAACGATAATTTTGTAAAATTGAAGTGCAAATGGTATAATTTTTTTTGTAGATCAAACAATGACAATCATTGGAATAGGTACACAATCGTGCGTAATAAATATTCACAAACTTTAAAAAAAAACTCGTTGTGAATATGTCCAAAGGAAGATTGATCAGCATCAAAACAACAGCAAAGAGTTATGGACAATTTTGATTTTTTTATTAAAACCTAGTAAATAATTGCAAACCGCGGTCCACAATTTTTAATAGCACATTAGAACAGTCAATATTGGTCGATGAACCTGGCGAAATAAAGCAGCCTCGTAAATACTAGTTGTACCTTTTTGGTTTGTTTTTTCCGTCGATCTTGTTTTCCGTGCTGAGCACCAAGGCTACCGACGTGCCAGGGAGGCAGCTCCCGCACCTGGACCCTACCTATCGACCCATCAACTCATTAACCGGGGACCAACGGCTTTACTTCCCATCCGAAGGAAGGCGTGATCAGAGATGTTATGCCTCA